GGAAATGTCGTTACACAGAACGTCATTAGTATCGGTATAAGAAATATAAATCTAGTATTTAATACAATGTAAATTAAACATTGGGCGTACCAATTGCCGCATTTGTGTTTACTAAAGCTTTCATCTCTGAGATATTATAAAGTATTATATTGTCGGTTAGCTTTATAACCAATGACATCCCCTTTTTTATATTTTGGAAATCGAAAGCATCACCGTTTATTTTTAATAGACTACTAGATCTGAAAAATACGGATTGCTCATAAAAGCTTATTTCATAAAAATATCCTATTCTCCGCATTTTTTTGTCTATAGATGCTCGCGTACATGATTAGTGCAGCATAATTTGAAAATTGCGGTTTGCGACAGCCATCTAGCGTTGTTGCCGTAATTATATTTACATAAAGCATTTCAAATGTAGGTAAGTTAGTGTCAAAATTCTATAGTGTAATTAATACATACCCTTAATTTGCAAGAGCCGATGGTATCACACTATTAAACAAGCAATTTCGCGCGCGATCGTTTGCAATTTACCTGTTAGAGTTCACGCTACACCTACATCATTAATATCGTATCATGTGCGTAGCTATGATAACTGTGCCACCTAGTGCGTAAGAACGTGCCACTCCACGCTAATTGACAGGTCCATGACTAGGCGACCTACAACTGGTCTTGTTGTGCTTTAGTATGGTGTCATTTGCTATCAAAAGACGTATCACTTATGCGATAAGTGTAGATTCAGTCAAATCCATGTAGGACGGCTCGATACCGATGTAATTCACTAGAAAATATCAAACGAAACTCTGATATACAATGGCTAGCAACCCCACGGACGGAGGTGCGCGGGTATTCAATAATCTGTTAGGGTTACGCTGTGTCTAAGATCTTTACATTCCTTTCGACAATCACTCATGCTTTATGGACATGTCATACGAAGGAGGATATATTATTTTGAGTCAGTCCGATCCTAAAAATTGCGATGTCATTAACGTTGCGAAATTTAAGCTTTAATCCACAAAATATTCGGAGAGTGTAACATGTGGACCTGTCTCAGATAAAACATTTGTGGTGTCAGTATTCTTTCTTTGAGCGCCATATTTGTATTTTATGTGATGGTATAACCCTACAACAAGAAATTAATTTAATTATTGATCACTGCTCCAAGGTCGATCAAGATCAATCATAGCTTAATCATCAATAAAGATTTCGCAAGTGTAGCAAGAAAAATGATCGTATTGTAAACACGCTGCGTATGAACGTAATCTGCGATGATAGGGATACAACCCGCCTAAATCATCATGTAAACTGCAACACAGACCTAATCTTGCCCATCTCGAAACTGGTCGCCGAATATAAATTCGTGCGGTACATAAATCTGTTCGGTTAGGTTGTCGTGGGCTACTGTTTATAATTTATATTTACAATCTGCCTAAACTAAGGTAAATATCATAGACTTAAGCCTAATATACGAAAAAAAGGATTTAAAGAATTGTATTGTAAGAATGCGCCAAACATCAAGTCACAATAGGATATACATCCATTTCAACGCGGTATTCACAGCCGCAATAAATGTCGATGGTGAACCTGAAAAAATTCAATTCTGGCAAAATTAGTTTTTACTTCATTTTCAAGTGGTAAGAGCACCGTTCGGGTGAGGTTATGGCTTTGGAAAAAATATAGAGCTTGGAACGTGTTGAGTACATTGTTTTTTGTCGTCTTTATAGGAGATTAAGAAATGCAAAGGCACATAATGTGCCGGTATATGTTGAACAATCACCCATTATTGCTGCTTCATGGGCCCCGCTTAGGAGGATACTAAACCAGGTAATGACGTGCTACTCGTGAGGGTCTACTCTAATTCAACCGCCTAGTTTCGATATGTTCAGTCGCATTGCTACTCATATCGTACATACCCTGATCACCATAAACTAATATCTTTAAAATCAATGAAGGGTTCCCACTTGTTTATTCCAAAAGTCTGCAGGTCCAAAAAGAAAAGGACCCGTTTTTGGCGCATCATTCGATACGAGAACTTACCGACTCAGCATGGCAGAAGCCAGGTGATCATGAACTTATCGGATACATGTGCATCCAGATTGCAACAATGCGTCGACCTGTGCATGTATTACTTTTGTGCCTTGCTCAATATTTAATTCACTTGCTTATTGCCAACCAACGCCAAGATGCTCAAGAGATAGCCAATGATCTCGTTCAGCATTCCTACATTTCGATTATCGCAGAGTATCGGTCGTTAAATGTCTGGAATCTAAATTGACTACAAGTGCTACAGAGTGTGCGGAGCTACTCTTGCGTCTTCCACGTACGTGTCACTTGTCAATTTACATACGCTTGTTCGAAAATACTAAAGCTCATCTAAGTACGCACCAGAGGTTTTACAATTGGATATGGATATCCAAACAAAGGCTATACTGATTGCTGTCACGTTGAAGACTGGATGTCACATACCTTAATGTTCACCTTATAACAGGACGCAATCCATCAACTGTACTTACAGGTGATGCCGCCAACGTCTAATGTACCTTATCGACGCTTCCACATCTTCTAGTTTTGCTTGTGGATACCACACAATAGTACCGCTAATCACTACATTTTGATCGTTGTGTTACCCCGTTTCAGTAAGAATACGACGTACATAACTCCGGCGGGTACGGCTGCGGAACTCGCACAGATCGACATAACATAGGGATTGTTAACGTGATTCTCCAGATGTTGCCAATTGACCTAGCGCACATGGATACAACTGATTGCGACAAGAGACGTTTTCATTTTTGCACCAAGTGCAATGCATCGAAATCAAATGACACTGAATCCTTGCTTACGATATGCAGGACATTCTGGGCTCAACTGTGTCGTTCCGACCGCTCGCTGTCGTTGTTTAAGTTTGAAAACAATGATATTGAGAATCAGATGCATTGGCCGCATCAGCGTTAAATGTGACAAAATGCTCGCAATCTCAGACTGAACGAGCTAAAAAGATGACTGCACGATGATGGTCTTCACTTGACACATGGTCGTCAGCTTGACATGATAAGCAGTGAGTGCGAGTAGCACAACAAGAAGAACGCGAGACATTCCAAAGCATCCGCAGCTGCATTAGCGATATCATTCGATCCACCAGTACTCATGACCCGTCTGACATCTATGGACCACCCGACTTGCACACAGAAACAAAGATGTCTTGAAGCCGCGCTACCTGCAGCTTGCCGACGGTGCGCTTGCTAAAAGAAGTGCTCAATCGATGCCAGCCGTGACTGTTGGTGCACTTCATGATGCTCTAACTATCAAATTGCATAGGCCAGTGGTGTTTCAGGAGAATTTGATCGCATATTTGCTCATCCGTTGTAGCGAGCGTATGCCTTTTCGTACCCGTGCGCCATTCTTTTTGTACCTTAATATAAACAGTTGCGAATCTTAACACGAAAAATGAAGCACATGCAGCCGCGAGCGTCGCCACGAAAGTCTAAATACATCAATGGAGCTCGTAGGTACGAAACACGAGGCATCATAATGGAGCACAATGTGAGTTTGGCATCTCCGTGTCGAGTTGGAGAGTAGGAGGATCAACGAAATAGCAATCGCGCTTACAACAAACGCAGCGAAACCACAATTTCGACAGGTGTGTCGTGTGAAGTTACGATGATTTCGAGAGGCACATGACAGTTCTCGATATCTGAGTCGCCTATTATCTACGGCGCTACTATGCATGCGAACACAAAGGCGTTAAGAACGACAATCCAGTGGTAAAACATGCGATGCGTTTGTGCTCAGACGTCGCAGGGTGCTATACTGCTCTCCGTGACAAATAAGATGGAAGTTACCTGGAAAAGGGCGGGGCCACCAACGTGGTGACGAGCGAGTGTTTACGCATCTCTCGCTTGCTATGGATGAGCAATAGCGTTTTGCGGACATGCTCATCCGATACTCACATGCTGTAACGACTTATTCTTTAGTTATGATGTTTTGTAATGTCTGCAATTCATTGGTGCTCAGAGCGATGTTTGGCTCGATAATTATTTTGTTGACTATTTCCATTCCAAATGTACCATATACTCGAAGAGCAGTTTTTTACCTTTGATTTTAGTTTGTTCGCGATTTTTCTTTAGGCTTTTTATCATCAGATTAGGCTAGACAATGTCTAGTCGTCGAGCGATGTTATCTACCGACGAATACACCTCTAAACGGTGTTATACAATTGAGAAGCAGTCCACGTCCGCAGCGCGATCGAACGCACGAGTTTATCGTGACTCGCACGTGCACGACCATCACGGAAGCGATATTGATGCGCCAACAATCAGGATGACGTGAATGGATGACCTAACCTTTCCGTCAGCGATTTTCTCACTGCATCAATGGGCCACCTTTACGTTGACAACAGTGCTGGACATTATTACAATCGATGTCAGCTGAATCCATCGTCAGGGGTAGATCGGTAAACGCATGAGGCGCTAGAGTGCGCATGCTTTTTGTAGTTCGCTGTCCACTATTTCGATTTGCAAAGGACACACGAGAGCGCAAATCTCATTCCTTGACGACCAAAGCATTGCTGCTTCTTCAAACAAGCGGAATGAATAGTACAATAATCGATTTACGCGCTCGGAGTACAATGCAGAAGCGCGGAGACGAGATAGACACAAGCTGACACTGTCCAATTTTCGCAAAATATAAAAAACACATCGATAAACGCAATACACACTTGAGAGTGCAAGTGCTACAGACTGACTGACGCGACACACACGAAACTGGCCCAAGCCTTCAGTGCGCACCAGGCGGTGCTACAATCGTCAAAACCTGCCTAAGAGATTGCGGTCTATTTCTGACCCTTTATAATAGCCATTTGGGGGAAGAGTGCAAGAATTATCACCACGATTTGAAAGCTTGCCCTGTCCAATGAAAAGGTCCCGTCGTCATACTGGTTTGCGAGCTGTGATCCACTCGTTCACTTCGCAATTTGCTCTTTCGCCCCTAGACGACCGAACGCGACAATGCGCATCTACTACTTCGTACTTGTGGCTTGTACTGCGACTTTGGCAGGCAGTACGAACGCTTCGGAGCCATCCAGCCGTTCAATGACGAACGCTGAAAACGAGGCCGCCATTCGTTCCGCTCACGATGTCCAAGATGGCGTCGCTGTCAAGAAACCGCTAGTGGTACACGATCACAAGACTGGCGAAGAAAGGACGGCACCTGCGGTGAAAGACGTTGAAGCAATAGAAAAGGCAACAAGTAAATTGCTCAAGGTGTTGCGTGGCAAAGCTACAAATAAACGCCCGACCGTCCACGAGCAAGTGTCGCTGATGACCCAACAAAATGCGATCAAACACCACGTAAAGAAACATTTCATGTTGGTTGCAGCGCTCCGGAAATTGCAATATGAACAACTGGAAGCAACGGCGTTGACGAAAGCTATGAGTGAAGCCTCTCGAGCCGACGTGCATCCTTCAGAATTTTTGAAGAAGATGATTCCCGAATATGAGGATGATTATCTTCCAGGAAAATTAGCTGCAGCCATGGTTTACGGGAAGCTGGAGAAGTACATCATGATATACAACGCAGCAAGACCAGACACACCACCCGTCAGGATGTTTGCGACATTGTACCACGGCTTCGGTGATTTGGCCAAACTCGCATCTTTTTTGTCGATTTTGAAGCTCAACTTCGAACATGCCCAAGATGCAGAGCGCCTGGAACAGTTGCTATATATGTACTTGATTGAACACAATACGCAGTTCGATGAAGTTGCCCTGAAGCTGGCAATCCCAACACAGGGACAGTCTATCTTGGGACACCACAACCTGGCCTTCTTCATCCGATGCATCTCGACGGTCATGGATGTACTTCCTTCGGAGCATCAAGAAATCTCCACACTTCTAACAATTATGTTTGGGAAGGAGCAAGCTGTATCCGTGATAGAAAAAGCAGAAAAGATGAGCTCGTCCGTATCATCTGATTCAATTCTGAAACGCCTTGAGCCATTGAGACTGAAACTGATTCAGGCTTGGATGCTGAAGACGTTAAAAGATGAGATCGCAGTCGTACGTACGCAGCTAGGATGAGAGCATTGATGCAGAGGTTGATCGATTGACTTTTGACTTGATTTCCACGTTTTGCGCTTGAACCACTGCATAGACGTATTGGGCCCTACATCAATTATTCTCCTCAGTTAGTCACTTGCATACAATAGAGTTTAAAACATTGCATCTACCTTTTTGACATCGATTGCATACGAAAAGATGTTTCTTCGAGGACCGCAATTCAAAAAGACAATGTAGCAAAGTATTTTAACACTACACGCACGTATAGTCCGAATGGAGTAAGAGGCAAGTGGTCTGTAGGTAATGGCTGAAGACACATAGAGATTGACCCTGACCTGTGCCACACATATAAGGTTATCCGTCACTATTCTCCAATCTCGAACTTGAACTTATTTGATATCGCGAGTCCATGTATGCATCGTGTTTGAATGTGGGCTCGATGGTGTGGCCTACATGTAACGAGTAGCCCGTTACATGATATTGTCATCAAGGCTAAATGACGATGAAGAAAATCAAGTTGAATATATTTTTAACAATATCACAGAGCATGATGATATTTTTGAAGATGACCCGAAGGGTCTACTCATTGGTTGATATTGAGATGATATCAACTCACCAATCACTGCTAGACGCGCGCAATGGGTGGTGAGTAGACGTCATTTGTGCGTTTGGTTAGATTAATATGATAAAGTCAGGACGAACAAGAGAAATAGGATTGATAGGGCTTAAATATATTAAATAGCAGTTTTACGTTTAACGCGACCAGAGTTTTCTACTTAGTCTCTTACCTTACTCTGTATCAGTGTATTACATGGCAGGGCTCTAACCTTCGCTGTTGTCAGTAAAAGTTAACTTCGTACTGGTAGACAAGTACGCAGTGGTTGGTGTCCCGTTACACCATGGTAGCACTTTGTAGTCCGTACAAGGGCCACAAATGCATCGTTCAACATGAACATATTGGAGGATGAATACGGCGACAGTTTTTAAGGAAGCCGTGAAAGCAGCTTCTATTTGAGAAAATTCGAATAAAGTGCGATCGAACGAATGAGTTTACCCGTTGGCGAGAAAGCTATCTGGGCCATGCTATCTTCATGGGTAGAGATAAACAGCATGCCACTGTCAGCAAGCTCTTGCAAGAAAAACTTGAATAGTCACGAGCGCTGGTGACCTTGTTGCAACAACAAGATCAACAGCGGACTGAAAATCTAATAACACTACAGTCTCGGTCCGCAAGTTCGACGCGTGAGCGTTGACAGGAGTCGCAAAAGCTAGAGATCTACAAGTACCGGGGAGTCGAGGGACTCTCTGTTATGATATTTTGTCGAAGTCGACGGTGACATCAAGGCCCGTCGCATCGACACAAAGCGAATGCAAGTCGCATTCGCTAAGTCTAACTTGGCAGACGACACCAGGAATTGGGTCTTACATCTCAAATTACACAACCCCAACGTGTTCGAGTCGTTTGACGTCTTCGAGACCCTGCTAAGTGAGACGTTTGAGCCTCCCAGGGGAGAATTCAGGACTCTCTCTGAACTCCTTGAGATCAAACAGGTTAAGCGTAAGGTTCAAGCTTACGCTCAGCATGTACGCTACCTTGCAATTTGCATGGTAGTAAACCCTCTGAGTCAATTTGTGAAGATCACATTATTCGATTACGGCCTTGCAATTGGTCCTGTCAGGGACCACCTGTTTCACGGGGAGCTAAAGACGCTGTCTGAAGCAATATTTGCTGCGTAGTAAGAAGACTTTAGTGTGATACAGGCTCACACTACTCTTACCGCCCATCGTCCACAAAGACGATCAGCTGTTGAAGGTCCATAAACAATGGACCTCTGTCATGTTGAGGGCGAGAAACCTCGCCCGGTGAATGACGAACGAATGGTAAGATGCCATCTCTTATATAGGCGCGAAAACTATGCATACGAACGCAGTATCCCTCGCTCAGGACCCCGTGGTGCTGAGCGCAGTAACTCGTCCACCAGTTCAAAGAACTGGAGGACGAAGTCCGATGCTGTTACAAAGCCGCAACAGCGAAGCGTACCATGAAAGAATGGTAGGGGCCAGTAGGGGCGGAGCGCCTTACTGATCCGGCAACATCAACAGAATTTGCAAATCTCTTGACGAAGGTTTAACCCTACACACAGTCACTGTGTACCTCTGCACTAGGTGATGAGGCGTCCTTCATCACCTTGACATTGGAAATGACAAAGAACTTGTCACTTCGCGCCCTAGTTGACTGTGGGGAGTCGAACTACTTTGTTCGTCGCCAGTCACTAGAGGCTGGAAGTATCAACTTCGCACAGCGGGGGGTTCCGTCAACGAGAATGACGGTGCGCCTTGCAACAGGCGCATCGACCACTGTGATTAAACGTGTAGTAGGAATCCATTACACGCTAAAAAAATGGACAGTTGATGATGACTTCATCGTACTCGACCTGGATGACAAGTTTGATGTCATCCTAGGACTATCTTGGCTCAGGAGATACGAGCCAATGGTGAGTAGGCAGCATCGATCAGTATCGATGCCTGCCACTTGTTCATCAGATAACGATCTGACGTATATCTTGGAACGCCCACAAGCGTGTGGGTGTACTGCAAGTGAGTACGATGGCCTCACTTGCATTACGGTAGTTATTACGACTGTACAAGAACACAATGTAGATGATCACTACATCGTGGAGAAATCTCTCCTGGATCATGTGGATGTGACGTCCCAGGAATTAATCGAGACAGTAAATGTATCGGTTACTGACGGATCGAGCGTAGGCGCTAACACGCTTGATCTGATATTGCCTCCAAAGTTAACTTCGGAAATAACCCGATTGCCAACGCTAGAATCAAACAAATTCTTGCATGATCTGCGTCGTGTCAAATACAAGCAGATCTGTGTACTCGTCGCAGAGGACGATGACGTCATCGATATTCGATTAGCAACGATTTTTACAAATGCCGAACGGGTTCTCAATCGTTCATCGACGGACAAAAGCGTCATCGATATAAATACTCGGATTAAGAGGTTTGAATCTCAATCCTAGAAGTCGCTTCAGGCGATATGATCGAATTCAAGAATGCATTCGCTAAATCCGTACCGTGCGAGTTTGCGTAACGATAAAGGCACTAGACAAGAATTAAGCTAAAACCGGGATCGAAGTACTGTGTCATGAAGGAGTGGCTATTGCCTCGTGAACAAGTACTAGCGATCGACAAGTCCTTTACCGATCGCTTAGCGGCAGGTCTTGTAAGGAAAAAACTTCCTTTCACAGCTCTCCGACCTTCTGTGTGCGAAATGCCACAGGAGGATGGCGGATAATGTATGCATTCAGCAAATTGAATGCTGCAACGGTACCGGCTAAGACGCCGATACCGAGAAAGGACGTTATCATAGATGGTATGTCAAAGATACCATCTTTTCGTCCATGGATCTGATGGATGGATTCTATCAGATCCTCATGCGTAAACGGACATTCCGTGCAATTCCGTAAGCACCAACAGCGATATGCCGTGGTAGGGGCAAGTGATGCCGCAGGGGCTGAGCAATGCCCCTGCAACATTTACCAAATGTGTCACAAATCTGTTGAGACCGGTTCGGGATTTTGCACCGAGTTGTTCTGACAATGTGTACGTCTATATACGGGCTATGAACGGAGAAACGGACGTTGAAGTACACAGAACTCACGTTCGTCAAGTCCTTCAACTTATGCGTCATCATAAAATGTACGTCTACCTCAAGAAGTGCATATTACCGGCTAGCAAAATACCACTTTTTCGGTGCATCGTGGGTAAACACGGCGTACGCCCTGATCCCGAATCGATCAAGGCGATCATAGACTCGCCATTGCCAGTCGATGTCAAGGGACTTCTTAAGTTCCTTAGCCAAGAGGCGTTTTTACACAAGTACTCACGCAACAACGCCGAGATGACTTTTCATCTTTCATGCTTGCTCAAGAAAAATGGTAAGTGGACATGGAACGCTGAAAGCCAGCATTCCTTTAAAAGTATCAAGCAAAGCTTCATGCAATCGCCCATCTTGGCGATTGACGACCAGTACAGACCATTCCATGCGGTCTGTGACGGCATCGATTTTTCAATCGACTGTGCTTTAATGCAGCATAATATAGACGGCACAGAGCGCGTCGTCTACTCTCAGTCGCGTCAGCTGCAATTATCTGAGCGCAATTATCAAGTGCATGAAAATGAACGATAGCCATGAAATATGCGCTGGCTAAGTTTCGTGTCTACCTCTTTGGAGACAGACCGTTCATTGTCTATCCGGACCATACGTCACTACGCGCGGCCGTAAGTATTCCACCCATCTCGCAATCATTGGCGAGGTGGTTGTCTTTCTTCGCGGAGTACAACTTCTATGTGGAGTATAAACCAGGACACTGAGCGTCGTCGCTGATGCGCTTTCGCGTCGGACCGACTTCGAGCCGACTGCCCAGTTCAACAAAGAGGCTTTGCCCACTATTGCGGCGCTATAAGTCAGTGTACCGTCGTCGCCATTACTCGACGATGTGCAGAAGGTCGACACAGGAGATACGAACCTTCTCTGTGTGAGTAATCACCGTGCGAATTAATCTCGGAAATCCTTGTCGGATTTGCCGGCCGTATAGCGTTCCTTTTTGGATCGGTATCAGATTTACAACGGGTTGCTGTACTGCAAAGCAGTAGTAGACGACACACCTCGTGTGATCGTTTCCAATAATAACGATTTTCGTTTACGCATCATGTTCGAATATCACGATGCCCCGAAAGGTGGCTATCGGGTTAAAATGACTTACCTTACGGTAAGTAGTGACTTTTACTGTCCATGCAAAAATCAGTTTGTGCGTAAGTGCATTTTTCTTGTGAGGTTTATCAGCAGGTGAAGCCCATTCCTTCATCCCGCGCGCAATTTCAACCTCTGCCTGTCCCGACAGAGTGTTGAATATTCGTTTCCATGGACTTTGTCTTCGGGTTCTCTGAATGCAATCACATAAAAAAGGGTATACTTGTGTTTGTGAACCGTTTCAGCAAGATGC